ACCAGATAAAGTTTCATTTTCAGGTATGATGCTGACGAGGTGGCCACTGAGCTGTCTGTATCCTGTGCTCTGTGCAGTGAGTAGCTTCACAACTGAAGTAAGTACATCAGGGCATGAGCTTGAGCCCTGTGTTGGTACTGGCCAGATTTTTATATTGTTAGCACAGATTCTGGTCTAATTTTAATGTGTTTAAGTTAGTACTGTCCCAGACAGTGGCCAGGAATGGTCTGCGGAATAGAGTGTTTCATCTGCTGATGGGAAGTTGTGCTGTGCCACGTAACCTCAGGGCCAGACCACAGTCCCTTGCTCGCTTTATTTTTTTGCATAATAACTGATACCCATGAAAAAAATTTGTGATTATTGTTTTATGAAGTACTAATTCTGAGTTTCTTCTCACAAGGGAAGACTTTGCCAATGCTATCCCTTGTTGGATAAGTTTGAAAACCCAATCAACAGTAAAATCTTTATTAGAAGCAATGCTTCAGCCAGACTTAAGTCACATTTTTAAATACTGCTCTTTACTTAGGAATCTATGAAGAGGCAGCAGTGATGGCAAACTGAGCCATCATCTGGTACAGCAGGACTGGTGTGCCATTTGCCTCTGCACAAAGAACATTTAAGCAAACTAGGGTTCCTCCCACAGGACTGCTAAAATATATGGCTGAGGGAGAGAATATGGCAAAGGTCTGTAAAGTAAGAGTGGACTAAAGGATTGTCTGTCTCTTCAGTATATGCACATGCAAAGAAACTGGAATGTTCAAGACTTGAATGGGATGAAATGAAAACAATTATTTCTTCACAAAACATGATTAGGCTGTGGGGTCCCTTGCCACAGGTTGCAGTGGGTGCCAAGAGTTCACGAGTTCTACAACTGACTAGTCAAATTAATGGAATAAAAGTCTGTCAAGAGCTACTAAATGTTACGATGACACTTTTGCCTCAGGGACACCTTGATCCTCCAGTTAGAGCTGGGTGAATATTCTGGAAAATATCACAACAACTGTACAATCTCCTTGGTATCTGTTGTTAGCCACTGCTGGAGACAGGCTATGTTGCTAGACAGATCTTTCACCTGTATCAGTATGACTGTATTCTACCTCACCCACTCTGCTACTCCACCACTGAACCCATCATAGAATCACAGAATCCTTTAGGTTGGAAGGGACCTTCAAGATCATGAAGTCCAACCATTGAGCCATCAGGGCTCTAAAGTCCTCTGCTAAAACAGATCAGAATCTGTCAGGGTTTTCTTCCATATTTATTATGCAGCTGAGGTCCTGGGGTACAAGAGGGTCCTTCTCTGCCTTCTCTAGGTAAGACCAGGAAGCAGGAGGTTGTCTCCTTCCCTTTGCTGGCCAAGAGTTGCAGGGAGAGGAGGAGGAGGAGAAACCACTCCTCCACTCACATGAAAGCTGGGGGATTTCAACAACACTGAGTATTAGACAGCCTTTGTCTGCTGCTTGTTTCCTTGTTACTAAGCTTATACTGCCATTTAGATTAAGAAAGACATCACTTCCTATACCATAAGGCTGCTCTTCTCCAGAAGGCAAATATGTAGATCTCAACCCAACTTGAACTCCCAACCAAGAGAGGATTTAACCTTTGTCCAATTGGAGAAAACTTTGACTGTGATTCACCCTCGCTCAGTCTCCAAGAGCACTAGTTCTTGGGCTCAGTACAGCAAGTCCAAGATGAAGCTCAGACTGAAACTCTAGAAGCTCTGAAAACGCTACACAGGGAATTAAAAAGAAAATGGCAGAGTAGCTTCTCTCTCTCAGCCTCTCATTTCCTAGCAGGGATATGCCTGCCTCATGAACAAAGTTAGGCACAAGGGCTGAGTAAATTGTGCAAGCTACAGTTATACAAGTCCTCTCAAACCGGTGTCAATCTTGTACTTCTTGCAAGTGTGATCCCTTTTCTACCTCCTTTGTCTCACATGACACTTGAACTCTAGCCATGGAAAGCAAATTGCTTGGAGAATCTCATCTTAGACAGTGGCAATACACGTTTATACCTGCAGCCAGACATTGCAGTTGACTCATTTCCCAGTCTATGGGAGCTGAACTTCTGAGAGTGATGAGCCAGCATAATTTTTTATAAAATGGTTTGATTTTATAATCTACACCTTAAAAAGCTTAAATGAAAAATTTTGAGATTTTTCCTCTAAACTTTTACAACACTCTTTGAGTCACAACTGGGACCAGCAGCGTGGGAAGCACTAGTTTCCCAGACCTTCTACAGTCAGCAAATACTCTGCCTCTCATCTGACATCTGAACTGAAACTTCTTTCTTATTCCATCCAAGTTCTGTCTCTCATTTCCTCCTTGTACACGGGCTACCCTTCAGCATTTCCGCCAGGAGGCAAAGAAGAACTGACACAAGGAGGATTACTTAACTTCACTGCCTAGTGGTTTTTCCTGGACTTGCATTTCCCACATTATTTCTTTTTTCTTTTTCTTTTCTCTCATTTTTCCCAAAGGAAGGCATTCTATTTTTGTGCTAATATGGTGCCAGGGTTGTGCTACTTTTACAGCTCTGTTTCAGTGCTTCAGGTCTTTTTGAGTTAAGGAAGAGGTGGTTGACAGTAAGTTTTTCTGTTTGTTTTCTGATCGATTCTCACCAGTACTCTGGACTGCTCATGCAGATATTCACCTGAGGAATGAAGGGAAAAGCTAGTTACAGTAAGTGCAGGGTTGGGTATGATAGAATAGAAAGGAACGTGAGGAATGTGTCTTCACAATAAGGGACAATAAGGGAATAGTCTGTACACTGGAGAGGTGCAATCACTGGTGCTCCAAGGTGATAGGTTGGTCACTTTACATACAAAAGAACCAAACAAGAAGATAGGAAGAACCTGAAGAGTTGAAAGAGAACTGAAAAAAAACCCAGATGCCTACCTCAAAGTTTGGATAAGCCTAAACTTCTGAACTTTAGGAACCAGTACGCACGCATAATAGACTTATACATAGTAACGTCTCCTCCCAGGGGAGGCATAAAATGAAGTTAATGAGACATACAACGTCTGAAGTGAAGGGGGACACACGTTAAGGGGGACATGTAGTAGGTGGACCAGGCAGTCTTTACCCCCCGAGTGCCTCAGCCAGTGGGGAAAGGAGGAGGAAAATGTGCAGCCAGGAAATTGGGATAAAAAGGGGGCTGTGTCCCCCAGCCAAACTGAGAGACCCCACCAGGGTGTGTCCGTGGACTCTCCCTTTATTGGAATGAAGTATATTTTTTTACAGGACTCTTCTGTCTCCTTTGTGAACAGCAACCTCTGACAACGGCATTTTCCACTCAGATGTTTTTGTTAAAATAAGTCATTAATGTAATAAACCCAAGCCATCTAACACGGTGAGGCCACACCACAACATGAAATTCTGCAAGTAGGATGCATAGCGGAGCCAACAATGACAAGTACAGTAACTCCAAGAAATCTCACAAATGAAATAAGCATTGTAGATCCTTAGTATGCGTTTAGAAAGGTCAAGACCCATCACCCAAACTTTTCACAAATTAGCTTAAAAGATGATCCACATAAAGTATGCTAATAGGATAGACTTCTATTCATCTTTCTTCCCTATGTGACTCAAAGACCACCTGAAAAAATCCCCCTTCCCTCTATCTTTTCAATCTTAGAAATGTCAGGAATGCAATATCCTGTTTTCTTTGGTTTTGCTGGGGGGCCTTGCCAGTGCTTTAGGAAATATTTAAATGCTGAAACTTTAATAAAGAGCTCCATTGTCCAAAAGAACTTCGTTAGTCATGGACAATGAAAGACTATTAATAGCAACATCAACAGTATGTAAACAAGACAGAAAAGCGTTTAAAAGGCCTTTATTTTTGCAAATGCTAAAGATCCTCTTGCTTCAGTCTTGTGATAGCCTCACTTTATTGCTCTGCACTCAGCTTTTCTGTTTGTAAAACTGCAATTTATGTTGTAAACACCCCTTCCCAGAAAGTCTCTTCCACTTTTGAAACAAAGACACCTCTTTCAAGGTTTTTACAATGCACCACAAATACGTCAGAGACCCCAATTTCATCTCTTTGAAAATCAATTTTCACTTTTGAAACTATAATATAAATTTTAAGAACACTACCCTTGAAATATCCCATGCTAACTAAAGTGATTTCACAGTAAGTTAGGGAAGTAAAGACTTATTTTAATGTGCATGAACCTTTTACAAAAACAAAATATTATGTTTTACTGCCCACTCTTCCTAATGGTTCTGAATTGTGATGAAAAGAAACAGAACAGACTTGCTTCTAGGGGAGAGAGTAAATACAAGCACATTTAAAATAGCTCCAACATTCAGACTACTAGTGATGATACAAACATGCCTCTTAAAAAAATAAATACCTCCACAGTGAAACTCAACCTATGTTACAAATTTGATAAATTTGGATGCATGTCAGGTAGACTAATAAGGAAGACTCAAAACTAACCTAAAAAGGAAGTCCATACAGCATAATGAAAACATGAAAGAGATGGAGAGACCCAAATGAAATATCTGCCTTTAAGCAATGTCTTAGCATTCTCTGTGCTTTTTTGTAAAGTGATCAAAGCCACCAAGAACTTATATATAGCTCAATGTCTCTTCAGACAGCAAAAAACAACTTAGCAACACAACCAAGTCAATCCCTTCTTCTACAACACAACATGTTTTTAATTAAGAAAGAATGCCAGGATGAAGGAGACCTTACAAGTTCAATAAGCTGAGAGCATTCAATTTTTGGAAGTGGGGGAAAGA